AGAGTTCAGACGAAGAGCCAAGGAAACCAAAATCTCCTAAAAAGGAGAAGGAAAAATTCCTAGTTCTCTTCGAGCCTGAAACAGAAACTTATTATCGAGTCAACAGAAGCAAGCTCAACCTCGAATACGAGGAGCCTGCTGATGAGGAAGACCTCGTAAGAGAACATGAGCGCATCAGCGCTCGGATTCGAGAAAATACCAAGCACCGAATTTCGAAGTCACCGTCTAACCCGGCTATGCAACAGGAAATGCAGGAAAGAATCTGGGTTAGTCGATGGAATCGAAAAATCCGAAGTCCACTCATGATCAAAGATTCTGAGGCTCCTGACGAAGAGGAGTGGGACAGACCCAGAGAGTCAGCATCTTCCTCCTCTGCGCCTCCTAACAAGGAGAGATTTGTAGGAGTACGCAGGACAGCCATGAGCCTTAACCAAAGGATACGAATGTTGCCTCGACCAGACAATCCTCTCTGCGATCTTTGCAAACAGCCTACAGGCTATTTTTGCTATTCCTGTGGTACGATTGTATGTGCAGACTGTCGACTTACCCCACAGGGTAAACAACGAATGTGCGAGTGCGTCTTGCCAATCGATTGCCTCGAGACCTCCAAAGTGAGAGCAGGAATGACCTCAGAAGAGCGTCAGTTTTTATACGAGGCCATCCTCACACATGAGGACGTAGATTTGGCAGTCCAGAAAATCAACATGTATTGCGAACACGCAAGAAGTCTGTTCGAAAGGGACCATCCAGGCGTTGATCCATGCAGCCTTGATGATATTAGGAACAATCCTCCGAATACGTATGACAGCTCCACAGAGGCTCCAACTCTGGAGGAATATAAGAGCATTAACAAGAGTCACATCAATATCAAGGACTCTAGAACAAGCCACCCGGCTTCTTTTCTCTCTCTTACTGGCTACGAAGACAAATTGGTGCTCGACGCACATTACGAGATAGTTCGCAATAGGATGGCCGGTGTTAACGAGAAGAGAGAATACATTGAAGGCTCAAACCCAGACAGCGTATCGCTAAACCTAGTGGTATTCAACTGGGGAAATATGGATCGAGCGCCGGTGCCAGCAGGGAATCCCAAAAAGAAACTCAAACCTGAGAAGGGATTCGATTACCACCCTCTTATTGACATGTGCTTCAACAATTCAGCACATATTACCCTCGTACTCGAGGCAGGAGCACTTGCGTCAACGTATTCGATCGCAACCATGCGACAACATGAATACAGAGGGATGCTAATCCATTCTCCTCCCAAGGAGCCTGAGGCACCCTCAATGTATATTGGAGTCAAGGGTGACCCAACAACAGACATCGCTCTCGTCCACCACTTTTATCGTCATCGAACAATGAAACCTAAGAATGGTGGTCCCAAGAAGCGACTGTGGGCATGACACGGTGCGGTATGCCGCCTCACCTTTGGGTACCACAGTACCATACCAGAGGCAAAAGAATGGGTCCACCCATATTCTGGCCAAAGGATGACGAGAGACGAGTTCATGCAGATTATCGGATATGACCCACTCAAGGGCAAAAATCCTGACAAGGATGGACCCACTGATGGCTCTTACCTCTCACCAGAGGCTTGCCTGACACTGTCGAGCCTCGACCCTTCGCCGGTTCTCTGTGAATGGAACGGCCATGTCGAGGGTGATGAGCCACCAGAGGAAGACTTTGAGTCATACGCAGAGATCTTCTCACAAGAAGCATCGAACGATCTTGACGAGATGTGGTGTACAAAAGGTCCTTACAAGGTCATCACCATCGCGATCGTCCATTTCAACTCATACATGACTCATAAGGAAGAACAGAGGCGCGAACTGGTGAACGCGTTCCTCAACGAGGTTCTCCCTTTCAAACCGGATGTAATTGCGGGGGATCTCAATAATATTGCGTCGAGGCTCACCTTAAAGGTGGAGACGTTCACCCGCGAAACGGTTTGTTTTCTCTATACCTGGAGAAGAAACTTGCAGCATTCAACAGAATAGCAGGAAGGCACTCACAAGTGCGACATCTTTGCTTGAACAACTCCGACCAGCACAGACTGGCACGTGCAGATCGTCTACCGGCGGACACGGCGAAGAAAGTTGCTGACCTTGACTGTATCAACAGTTATATCCTTGACTGGAGTAAAACGCCGCACACGGCGTCACCTAGTCCAAGAGAGGTCACACCTGCCGCCGAAAGAACATACTGGGAACGAATCTCAGATATGTGGCAGGACACGAACAACAACAGGGATATTGATATCCGTCTGTTTGTATCAGTCAAGCAGTACTATTCAACTTTTTCTAACCTTGACCTATGGTTGAGTCCCACTGACAAAGATTGGCACAGCCCTTTGGGTTTCACGATACAACCAATCCTTACAAAAGGGAAACACAACCGGTCAGATGCCCAGGTCCAAAAGATCGCTGACAAGCGAAAGGCTTACAAGCAGCGTAATGCTGAATACTGGGGTTACAACGATTCATTCGTTTACTCATCCGGCAACAGCTGGTACGACAAATCGCAACCATCAGGTAGCCATCACAGATATGGAAGATTCTGGGAGTGGCCACAGCCTGAACGTCCCAGCGAGCCTGAAGGTCCTCCTCCAAGAAGGAACCAGGAATCATCGTCCTCTTCACAACAAGATCTACCAAGATCAAGGTCCAGGCCTCAAAGAACCAATATTGTTGACAAGCTCAACATGTCTTTGGAAGAGCTGGATGGACTAGAAGAAGAACCGTCACCAACAAAAAGTGACATCGAAGAACACGAAAGAGAAACATCAAACTTGATGTCTGCTCAGAGAGATGAAGAGGAACAAGAGGACGAATCCTCCAGCCGGAGAAGAAGAAGGAAGGCATCGCGTCCACCGTCTGCTCCGAGCGGCAAGGCACTCAGAACAGCTGCTACAGCAGCGGGATTGTCGGGCTGGTTCGGACACCGCAATCGAGGTGGAGCAAACGCAGAGTCTACCAAGACTGATGAAACTTCACTTCCAGACTCACTAACCAGTGAGCAAGACTTTTCCGTCTTCAGCATCGCGTGGAATGTGTTCCTGCTGTTAATGGGCTTACACTGGATGTGGAAGCAGATTACCAGGCCTCCTATCAGATGTATGGAGCGCCGACAACCAAAATCAAAAGCAGCAGCGAACCAAAGAGTTCCATTCCTCGAACCCGAGGATGAACCGCAGACGCGTGAACCTTTAGGACCCAACAGGGTCAATTCCGGAGAAACAACTGTCATACATGACAATCAAACGGTAACTATGCCTCTTGCGAAATACACAGACCTCCTCAGAATCGCACAAGCATTGCGAGGCTCTATCCAGAGAGACAAGGAGGAAAGAAAGGAACATCTTGACACCATCCAAGATACTCTATCCAGAGTGGAAATCCTTCTCACAGCACTGAAGGACTCAAGGACAGTCTTTAACCAATTGGTCCATTCCTCACTAGAGATAGAGCGAAGAAATAACAATCTCAAAAATGTCCTCGAGACACTCTTTGATGACCAAAGCTCTGAGGAAGACCAATCAGAATCTGACAATGAAGAAGTCCTAACTCCTTCTGCACCACAGTACTGGAATAGCCTTTATGCCCACGCCTTATCTCCCTCAGGAGATGAAAGTGAAAGATCATGGGCGTCCTCAGACGGACAGCTTGAAAGAAGAAGGGCTGAACGGGCAAAGGCTAAGCAGCCGCAACCGGCAAAAGCCAAGGCAACTCCAGTCAGCTCACAAGCTGCTCCAAAGGCCGAGCCAAAGGCGACAACATCCAACCATGGATATGATACTGCAGATGCCGCCTTCACCAGGGCTGAGAACAGATTACTCGGAATCTTTTCAAGTTCCGAAGAAGACCACTCAGACCCGGATGAGCCACATCCGAATGTCTACGCTCGAGCCTATGATCCAAACCTGGATCCGAATCTGAGATAAGAAAATTCTCAGAGTTTCACAATAGTGAATCACAAGGCTCTAACAAGAGCACAATGAAGGGCTGCATAATTCGGTAGTAGAACATTACCAGACCTGATCTTGTACAGATGATCTCTCTGACCAATATGCATGAGTGTGTGTGCAAAATGAGTGGAGTGTCCTCAGCAGTGTACTTCAGTGCTATACCTAGCATAAATAATATGCTGTTTTTATAATGAGTCCAAACTCCGCAACTGTGACAGTGGGCATAACAGTATATGTGTGAATGTGCGGCCATGCTTCCGGTAAAAGAAAATTAGTGTCTGTTTGAAACCATAAACCTCTAAAGGGGTAGCTCTAACAGGTACCTACAGCAATGGCTGCATGCTCATACATATACATTCCGCTGCCCATTGGCTCACAGTGGTTTTACCATATTGAGACAAGACAAGCTCTCCTTGCGTAGCAAGACAAAACAACTACTGTCCGTGTGCAGGGCGCTGCCCTTTGATCCTTAGGGAATAACTGGTCATACACCTCCTCACAAGGAGTATCCCTTGGGGGTGTATCGGCACAGGGGGGGGGCACCCCCCTCCCCCACCTTATCCCAGGCACAACCACCTTAAGGAGGAGGGGGGGGGAGGGGGGGGAGGGAAGCGCACCTTATCAGTGGAAAACGCATAATGACAAGGTGAAGGGGGGGCCCCCCCCCCCTACCCCCCACCTTAACTCTTGGACGTCCCACCTGATAAGGTGCAAACCCTGTTTTTTCCCTAGTGCCTTAATACAAGTGAATTGCTAAAGGGCAACTCCCGCGAGCTCCACAGAGCTAGCTTTCGTGATCTGCTTGGTGTGACTGCACTGTACATTGAAAGTCTTGTGCTGTGATCCTGCCTATCCTATCCCATGCCATGACGGCAATATGTGCGATCAGATTGTTAAAACAAATCTCGCCACACTAGTTGTTAGGTTGTACGATAAAGGAGCTGCAGTATAACACAGAACGGCGGATCATCATTCCAGGCTGGAAAATAGCGTGACATCCTGAGCATAGGGCAACTGCCAAACAGGAAAGCGCCAGTCATTTAACGTGACCTCGTCGGCGTCCATCTTCCAGCAGGACCGGCCCGAAAAGCATCCAAAGCACCTGCAGAAGATGCCTTCCGGAACACTCCACGCGGCGGTACTAGCAGGTCTCAGGACCGCACCATGAAGTCAAGGCTTGACACGTGGGCAGTCAAACTACCTTGGCACGTTTGCACACTTTGTCAAGCGCCGTGGTTCAGTGGCATCGCACCAGCTTCAGGGCTTTGCACCGCTGTGCAAGCCGCTTCTAACGGTTTGATTCTGAGCGGCTGCCGAAGACTGGCATGAAGCCAGACAAGGCTTCGGAGGGCGAGAAGCCACCGATCGCCCCGTTTCCTCAATTTCGAATCGTGGCCAGGCAAGAAATCATGCAGCAGTCGTTTCAATCAGGGCGGTGGAAAAGAAGATTTAATGTCCAAGCCATTATTCTCCAAGTCTGGAAGCCCTTGACAAGGAATGGAAATAAACATTGTCATCAAACAAGCCGCCCACAGCAAAAAGCGCCAAATAGGCAGCGAAAGCAAGGAGGACCACAGCAGTTAAGCGGTTCTCGAGGATGTTCGCCGTGGCCCAGTCAATCTCTCCTGATTGACCTGTGCATGCACCAGGAAGAACTGGCGTGAACTCATCTGCCTGTGCCTTCTGTGGGCTCTATAGAGCACGTACTTCAATCAGATCTAGCTATTGGTTCTCTCTCGCCCGCATCATGCTGCTCTGAGGCCACTATGATTGGGAATGAAGGGGGTTGGCCCCATGCAAACCTTGCAATGGTCATCAACCGGTGTGAAGATGGGTTTCGGCTTGCGGCAGCTGGCCTGCCACAGACCTGTTCTCACGCAGCGCCAGGTAAGGGCTGAGCGCAAAAGCACCGAGGAAGAAAGAACCAGCCACGAACCTGGTCCCGCAAGAGGCAATGAGCCACTACATGTTGCATGAATGTGGCTTTGAAGTCCATGGCTAGGGTTACGGCTGAGTACTACGCCCACTACGCCTCCCCTCCGATGTACTTGTTGAACAAACATGTTGCGGTTGAGTGCAAAAGGCTACACATCACACACACACACACACACACGCCAACTTCTTTTATTAAGCGGCGGCAGTGCCGGCGCCGGCGACTGACGATCGGCTCCCGGCAGCAAAGTCGCGGCGTAGATCATCGGCCAGATGCCTTGCACTAAGAGGAAATAGCAGCGGATTGGTGGCGGCGTTGCTGCCACCCCTGCAGGCCTAGCATGTTGAAGATGCAGCAGAAGAGTGGGTTCACCGAGCCGTCGAAGGGCGTTGTGAATATCTGCTGGATCAGAGCCTGTTGAAGACTTGCGCTTGGCAGGAAGTTGAGCTGCACATGGTCATCCAAAGCATGTTCCCCCCTGACCTGATCCGCCACGCGCTCGTCTGGACTCTTTCCAGGCGCCAGGAGCACAGAATAAGCCAACAACGCTATCCAGGTACCTCGCGGAAAGTCGAGCACAATCCCACCCACGGGGTGAAGCAACTCAGGCAGCGATACCTGCAATGGCCAAAGTCCTTGGTAACCAATAGATGAACACTTCTACAAAAGGAAATACACACACACACAAAAGAGAGGTCTACCTCCCAACTTCTATTTAACCGGTGCTAACACCTGCCTGCCAAGTCACCGAATGCGCCAGCGCTTCGGACCAAAAAAGCCATCGCTGGCCTGCAAGGCAAGTTTGCGTACCGAGGAGTGTGCATGGCTTGAGGGGGTTTCGCCCTAAGTCCCAAGAGCAAAAGTACGGATACCGTGGCCTGCAGCCTTGATAAAGGTTGCATGAATTTCTGCGTGGAGGCCGGGAAGGCCCTCAGAGGCTGCTACCATAGCTTGAGACTCTGCCCCTCAATGCTGGCAGTTTCTGTCCCCTCCCAAACAGATCATGATTTTAAACCCTGGCTCCATGCCGTACAAACCAAAAGGCGGCCTCCGACGGAGGCTCCAGGCCCAGCCCGCGCTGCAGCTGCGCCGCTGAGCCCAGGAGGGCCACCCTCAGAAAAACCATCATCCGGCTTGAGTGTCACCCGCATCCTACTCTGGCGGGATGCCCTGAGGGAGGCAGGGAGGGAGGGGAGGGGAGCATTGATTTGTCAAGCTCTCGCTCTCGTACGTCCACACCGAGGCTTTACCCAATCCAGCTTAGCCCTCCTGGCACACCACTGCACCGGGGAGGTTGCTGCTGCATGGGTTATGGCTGTGCTTCCGAAAGCACCCGGACTGTGTAGCTTGACATCGCTGGTCTGAACACGTTTAGTTTGCATGCTGATGACCCGCACCAAGCTCCCGGGGCGAAGTCAACGCATGATCCGTTTAAGGCCGGTAAACTCAGACTGCAAGCGGCATAACCACGTGTGAGAATCCCAGCAAAGGGCAGAAAGAAATTACCTTCATTAGTGTTACGACAATCATGGAGAAGACGCTGTGATGATCACGATTCATGCCAATATCCATAGCATCACAAACATCATGTTCATGATAACTCTCAATACTGAAGCAGAACCAGAAATCAAACGTTCGTTGCTTTTCTTGTCTTACTGAAAAGGTCACTGCTGCGTGAACTGGCTCGCACGCTTTGAAAGATGATATGAACTCCACGAAACCATCTTCAATCGGGGGTTCAGAATGAGTGGACAGAGCACATTTCCCACGCTCACCCTGGCAGGGCAACTGCCGAGATGCGCAACCACACCGGCGGCAGGAGCCGCATACGAGGCAACCTTCCGGCGAAGCAGCCGGCATTCAAGACAGGCGATGCAAATGCAAGCCAGACGTCCCAGAGCGACTGTGTTTACCCGGGCTGGCATCTAGAAAGCACTCCAGGCACATAGGCCAAGAAGCAACCAATCGTTGCCCGGCCTCGACTTCACCAAGAGCCCTAGTGGCCGTCACAGGTGGATGTGGGCTTCTCTCGAGCGCCCCTGCCCTGGACAAAGGCAAACGTGACCTGAGGCATGCGCCAGAAGGCATGGGCTTCACAGCAAGGCCCAAATTCAACATGCACTACACATTAGAAACTCACGCTAACAAGTTACTTCATGTCAAGATCACATACATGCGCTCGTAGCCGCGCTTCGGTTCTTGCAGCTGGCAAACGCCAGGCAAGGCTTGCAAGGCTTCTTCTACCCTAGGTTGCCAGCATGTGCTTCCTCAGCCTGTCAACGCGACAGCAATAGACGAACAGCACACAATTTGAGGGGTCTCGGCGCTCCGGGTGCCGCTGAACTCTTGCGGTAGCCGACTTAGCATCAATGCAAGCCACTGGGGGCCGGGATTGGCAAACGAGAGCGAGACTCCACAGTGCGCAGCACCTGTCAATGTTCAACATTTTGCAACGGCAGCGAAAACACTCCAAATAATGCCAAGTGCGGGTCAACCGCCACCTGCCAGTGCAGCAGCAGCTACCACCCGGCGGCCCTTTGGTCGCCGCTGTCGAGCGTCCATGGGCTCAGCGAAACCGAAAAGGCCCAGCGCACTGAGAGCCACAAGGCTATATGCAAGCAGTGGAGATGCATACAACAAAGCGAGAACGAAGGGTGTCGTGTCGCCACTTGAAGTTGAATGGTTGCTGCTGAGCCTCGGGGTTCTGCGTGGCTCAGCCTCGGCTGGGACTGTCCAGCTCGGAACTTCGGCTTCACTCTGCACGGCGTGGACGCTCAGCTGCTCACAAAGCCATGTAATCTCGATGAAAATTGACCGGATGCTGTCAACTAAGGCTCATTAAGGAGTCAGTCCGATATTCACGTGGGCAGCAGGTTACAAGCCCAACCAAGAGTTCTGCTATGTTTGAGAAACCGAGGGCGTATCTGAAGCTCTGGCATGCTCTAGCCAAGTATCAGTGGAGACATGCCCGCGGGGTCCGTAAGCTGCACTTCGCTTTGGCACCCTGAGCGCAGGCTGGAATGTGAAGACAGGGGCGCTTCATGGAAAACTTGTTGACGCAAGCTGACGGACCGCGCCCCAGTGATGCAAGCATGAAAAGCACTTAGGCTTCGGCACAGAGGCGGCTGGCTGTACCACGGGTGTTGGTGGCGGGGTCGGTACGCTGTGGCTCGCATGCATCATCCTGCGGTGCTCATGCGCTCCGCTAAAGCTTTGCAAAACATCAAAGCAGCAGATCTGCATGAATCTAACAGGCTGTGCGGTCCATTTCTGAGTAACATGGCTAGACGTGCTGCGTCGAAGCAGCATCCTACTAAGGCAGGGTGGTCGACATATGAACCCTTCGACCGGTTTGTGGTTATACGCCTTCTGCCCTATCTCTTACACTGATACAAAGATCGCAACGCTTCACAAAATACTGTCAACTTATTGTGCTTTGCAACCTTCCAAAGGCCCACCTTGGCCTGTTTGGTCCATTTGCAGGCGGTGGTGGGGGGTTCACCCCCTGCAGGCACGGATGAATAGAACACTGAAGAGCAGTTACTGTAAGTGCACAAAGCACTGCCGAGGCCCTGTCCAAGAGGACGGCAGGTGTGCAATTCAACTTACGGCCTGGCCTTGTGCCGCTTGGGAGGTTCACCGGCAGGCTCCGCAGGACGTTGCGACTGGAGCGCGAGTTTGCGATCTGGCGGAGAGTCAAGGATGACCGAGCTTCACACTGACGCTGCAGGCCATCTGAGAAGCTGCGAGCCTTCCGGTCCTGCTTTCGTCTGCGCCGGAGCTGAGGGCCTCTCCGACGAAGCATCCGGTCGCGGGGTCTGCGGCACAAGACCCGGCTGCGGCGGCTGCGGCGTCTGTGGCACAGTACCCGGCCGGGGTGTCTCCTGAAACGGATGTGATGAGCTTCACGATGCCTTGCTGCATTGCCATGCTGTCCAAAATGAAAGCACTGTTGCAAGACACAGGCAAGTCGCAGGCACTCGAAGGAGGTTGGGCCTCAGTACTAAGTCAGCTAGTGTTCCCCTTCATCCGAGATTGGATGGTTTGCACGAGACAGCAGAAGAACTCAAGCTACGGTTCGGCTTTCTCCTCTCACATCCCCTCCCCAGCAATGAATGTTGCCTTGCAGTGGGTTTGGGCGGCTTCATCATGAGCTGCTCTGGAAGGACGACGGCGATGTGCTGGCTGGGAGCAGACCTGAACTCGCAATGACCCAGCTGACATCTTCGCTGATCCTGGAGTCCTTAGACTCCGCTTAAGCCCGCCGGACTTCGCAGAAACCCCTGCACGGTGAAAGCCTCGAACAGCCTGGGACACATGAAAAGTACGTCAGCCGTAAGCGAACAACTTCCACATACAGCTTGCTTATGAACCGAATCTGAAGTTCCTGCTAGTCAAACTGGTGCTTTGTTGCTTCCATTGTCCTACTAATTCGCTGTGTTGGGGAACTCTGTCCTTCACCATACTTTACTACCGCTTTTGCCCCAGATATTTCAGGTGTTCCCACACACCATCTCACATATGATACGAAGTCGGCTCCCGTTTGCAGGCAGGCTATGAATCGCGAAAGCTGCAAGGTAAATGTTGGAACAGGACACTTGGAAGACACATCGTGAAGAAGTCCAGTGGCACACAGACGAAATAAAGTGAAGATTAAAATCAAAATTGAAAAAGCTAGCTGCTGGAGCAGCCTACAGTTCCCAAAACAAATCTCAGGGCACCTTGAATACATGTGGGGCAAGCTAAGATCATCCTCAAATATCCATAAGCACAACAAGTCTTCCTGCCGGGTGGGCGAGGAAACAGAAGCGGTTGGTGCAACAAGACAAGCAAAGGACCCAATTAGCAATTCATGAAGCCACCAGGATGCCTGACGGGCTTCCCCGGGGCTGGCGGCGAAGGCGACTCCTTCGCAGCCAGAAGTCGCCTCTCCTGGAATGCAGAGTTGTCACGTGCTGCCCGAGATTTCTCACAAGCCCTCTTAAGCTGTAGGACGGGGCAGCATCGAGAACGTAGGCTGGAGACAAAATGGAATCTTCTTGGCCAACTAAGCACGACCCATAATGCCAGACGGTGCCGTCCGAAAACCCAGCCTTTAAGAACCCTGTCACGCTGCAGCCAGGGTTCGCTGCTGCTCGGGGTTGTTGGCTCGCCATGCTGCGGTGGGGTCATCAGTCCAATCTCCTGTCCGTCGTTTCGCTCCTGGGCTCCAAGCAACTTGGACTGCAGACGCTCGACCTGCTTCATCATGCTTCTGATCTAGTCCAGTTTCGGTGGCAATGGGTTGAGGAAACTACGATCGGCGCCTCTCTTGGCTTTACTCTCGGCACTACGTTCATGAGCACGCCGAACAAGCCGATGTCTCATGCTTGCAGGAGTCAAAGGCGAAAGTCGACGCATGTCGACGTCACGACTCCCCGCACTCCCAGTTTCCATCAGCTCTACAGAGCAACACCAGTCCAAAGCGTCAAAGCACCTCGTGGTCGGGCTTGGCATTGGGCGGCGTCGTTGGCGCCGCGTTGCCCCACTGGGTGTTCACGTGCGTCCCCAAAGGCCATGCCCAGCTCGTCTGGATGTCGCGGCCCTGTCGCATGGTATGCTCAGATGAAGCCTGAAGTTCGGAGCTGTGTCTGCTGCAGACCATGTGTTACGGAGCTTTGACTGTCAACATCGACCGGCCACGGACGCTTAGGTCTGCAGACGAATCCGGAGAAGCTTGGGGCTACGGCTACTTTTGAAAGTCCCAAATTCCAACCTGCGACGACAAGCTCGCAAAGCAATACCATGCAATTCGGCAGACGCTCGAAACTGACATCGTCCGCATCGGAGCAGAGCTCTGTGCCACGATAAACTTAACGGTTTTGCACTCTTGACGAGACCTGTATCAGGCACATCGAGACAAGAGAATAGAAAGTCAGAAGGTGAAACCAAAGCCTGAAGCCCGCCAGAAAGCCCGGCACAACCAGAACTCGCCCCAAACGTCCTCTGTCCGACTCTTCTCCCAGGTCCCAGGCCTCTCCGAATTGAAAGAAGCGGAGTCCGGCTCGGGAGAAATTAAGCGACCAGCCCGGCTGCAGCGGAATGTGGTCCTGGATTCCAGGGACAAAAGGCGGCAGCTGCTAGGAACTGATATAGGGGCAGGCCCCTATTTACATGGACGCATCGCATCATTGCCTGGACAAGTCAGATTTCACGGGATGCTGGCACGAGGCCCATGCGCAGATTGCGCAGAGAAAATGCTGCTGCATTCGAGAGCCTTTGGAGCCCGAATGATGCAGCCATGTGGCAACCTGCACCTGGACATGTAAACCTATGGGTACTTTCTGTACTGTAGATTTGCGCACTGAGCTGAAAAGCCGGGCTGCCAAAGCGACTTGAGCCCTCTCAGCTCTGTTAGGAGCGAGCAGGTTCAAAAAATGAACCCTCTAAGCGATAGAAGCGGAACGGAAAAGCTTTAAGCTTTGACGAAGTGAGCGATAAGTCGTAGCCTTTGAGGAAGACCATGAGGAAAACTAGCAGCTCGTCTCTAGCAAACTTGTAGCCAATGCACATGCGAGAGCCTCCACCAAATGATTCGAACAGCGTGGGTTCATAGGTAGTGTCAACGAACTGGCCCTCCTTGTCCAGATGACGGCTTGGGAGGAACTCATCCCACATCTCCACTTTGCTGAACTGCCCTGCTGGGTAGTAGCTCAGGTTCCAACCTTTTGGCACCACGTAACCATCAACCTGAAGCTCTTCTGTCAGGTTCCGAACGATGGGCATCACCGGTGGTGTCTTTCTCCAGACCTCCTGTATGAATGCTCGAGACTTGGGCATGGATTCCAGCAAACTCCTAGTGATAGGGGATTTCCCATCCCAAGTCTTCTCAACCTCCTCCTTCAAGTTGCTCGCAAGCTCCGGAAGCTCCTTCAGCCATCGAAGCGTGCTGTGAATCGATGCCAGCGTCGTGTCATGGCCTGCGAAGGTCATGGAAACACAGAAGTCCTGGAGTTCCTGGTCACTTTGGACCTGGTCCGAGCCCAACATGGCATCAAGCATGCACGTCGCCTGCGGCGACTTTTGCAATGCCTCCCGGCGCCTGTCGATCACCTTTTGGCACTCTTGCCCCAGCCGTCTTCTTGCGGACATGCAAGCGTGGAAGGGGAATCCAGGGAGGTCCACAGGCAGGATGCAACCAATCCCAGCTATGGAAGTGTCAAACAAGTGCATGAAGTGGTCCAGCTCTTCTTCCGTAATTTCCGAGCCTAAAACGACCGCCTGCCCACACTCGAAAGCATATTTCTTAATTGAGAAGTAAAGGTCCTTGGATGCTTGACTTTCGGCGGCCCACTGTTTCAAATACTTGACACTTAATGCCTGCAGGGTGGGCAAATACACATCCAGCTGCTGATTCGTAAAGGCCCGTGTGGTCATGTTTCGGAGTCGCTTATGCAGGGGGTCATTGACCATGGGCACTGAGCTCTCACCAACGACTTTCTTGAAGTGAGCCGGCCAGCCGAGATCGCGCTTTGAGTGGATCAGCTTGGCATTGCTCTCCGACACTGCAAGGAAAACCGTTGGGACGAAAAGTACGTTTGACTTGAAAGTGCCACCATATTTGAGAAGCCTTGCCTCAATGAACTCTTCCTGATTTGACACATATGCCAAAGTCTCGCCAAGAAGTGGCCATCCCATGCTGCCCGGCGGAAGCTTCCGTGAGCGCCACCACCTCTGCAGAATTACATAGCCAGCAAGGGCACCTGCTGCACAAGTGGCGAAAAACGACGCCCTCTGGGCTTCTTTGCTGAGCGCAAGAACGACCATAACCCAATGACGCTATGGCAGGCTGAACACACGATTTTCCGAGCTTGCCTGAGCCAAATGGCAGCTTGAGTGCCACAGAGTGTTGAAGAACTGTCGTCAGGTTCGGGGCCCAGCCCTGCTCCCCCTTCAAAGGTTGCAAACAGCTCCACGTTCCCAACCCACTCTCTTGGAAGTTTACAATTCAAGACGGCGTTGGGGCTCTGCACCGGTTTCGGAGGCCCCATCCGATCCTAGTGTTGTTGAAAACACGTCAGCACCACAAGACGACAGAAGCTACGAGTCCTGGAAAGCAGTAACTGCAGATTCGAAGACTCGTCTCCACTCCTCACAGCAAATGACAGCCGTCGCATGCAGTCGCACCCAGAACAATGACACGATGCAAGCATTCCACATATATGCACGCCTCTCCCGATGTTGTGCACACACGCTGACCGCTGGCCCGCGAATGGTTGTCTTCAGGCACATTATCCACAAAAAGGGAATCGTGGAATACAAAGAGAAACAGACAGGGACAGAAATGGAGAGAGTGCGAAACCCGGCCGCTTCATCCAATCGCGCAATTGATTGGTTTCGCTGCAATGGTACGACACGTATAGAGATAAATCGGCAAGTCGTAGCTAGCTGCTAGCTCGCTAACTAGCTAGCTCGGCCAGGTAGGTAGGTGGGTAGGTGTGGGTGTGTAAGTAGGTAAATAGACACAGAGGTATCTATTCATGGCAAGAACCTGAGCCTCGTCTCGTGCCTTGACCTTTGATTGAGACTTGAAGATTTCTGGGCGTGCGACCTTTTGCAGCCCCTGGGAAACTAGTATTAGGACGGAGTGGGGCCTCGGAGCAACAAGAAGCTACATGAATCTCATCCCTTCCTGCCGCCTGCACCGGGGGTGGAAAATGGATTGGACGGAATAGGTTCATCAGAAAATGTACGGAAATGGCTTTGATATGGTCATGTTAGTCTGCACTCATGGCAGGAGGGCGGGTGGCAGGCCCGGCGCACTGCATTCGGAAAACAATTGTGCAGGCAGGTTGCAGGACTTTTGGTCTTCTCCAGGCCTCAGAACGGGCATTCCCACACGGGATCGAAAATTGCGGCCAAGCTCAATTTGCAAGGTGATCTCATCCAAAAGCCGGCGCAGTTCCCCTAGGTCCATCGTTTCCGTGCAGCAGCCAGCCCGGAGCAATAAACCCGGCACGTGCTTTCTACGAAACCGTACTCAACACGAGGACCAAGTGGCTTTTCTGCAACTCCTGCCAAAGTGTCGTCGCAGCCGTCGGCTGATCCAGAATTGCAATGAAAATGCTGACCACTTCCCGATTCCTTACTTCGAGGAACGCAGAGCCCCTGCATGCGCAGTTCCATAGAGGAGTTTGCCTGGCCTCCCATTATGAATGACGGTTCGACTGGCGCCAGTATCCAAGTCGCGTTTCTTGCGCTCAGACTTCAAAGTAAAGCTAGGAGGTCGGCCCTGGGGCTGCCGATCGAGCCCTCCCTCGTTTTATCATCGGTGGTCAGCAAACGTGGGCTCCCAACAAAAGCTGGCTCTGGGCAGGAACCTGAGACAAAGCCAAGGGGCTCCAGCAAACCCCTGCCATTGCTGGCTAGCCTTAGCCCAAGCCAGAAGAACATGTAGAAGCTGCTAAGTGGCAATGACCAGCACAAGAACAGAGTCAGGCAAGAGCTGCCACAGCCGTGTTTGTCAATCACACTTCCCTGAGAATGTCCTTGACATAGCTCTGCTGTTTCATTACTATGTGCTAAGGTATGGATGAAGCTCTCCTTGCCGGCTGAAGCCGCAAAATTGTACTCTCTTTGCAGCCTGGTTGCACGAGCTGCCTCGGCTAATTGGCGCAACACTAGAACACCAATCCAAATTCTGAAACTGAGACAAAAGAGCTTTTGGCACTCGCCTTGAAAAGAAAGGGTCTTGTAGCCCTGGATTGTCAGATTCCGATCCAACTCAGAGCGAAAGCCAGATCAGACATGGCACCTGAAAAGAAGCAATCTGGCACATCTTTCTTGGATTATGCTGTGCACCTGGGACGGACAAAGGCCGCTACAGCAAATGTGCACTCGCATCCTTGCTCGACCACGTTCGACGCAGCACCAATGCACCTGCTGGGCCTGCGCTTGCGACTCCTGGGCCTCAGACACTTCGTAGCAACAGCTGGCCACCATTCCCAACTTCTGCTGCAAAGCTGTGCTGTGCTGCTATCTTCGCTAAAAATAATGCATTCTCGCACGCCCTGTTGAGAGCTGAACAATGAGCCCAAAAGCTTATCGGGCGTGTCGTTGGGATCCTGGATTCTGGGGTTTCCCTCCCCATCTGATGTCCTTGCCTGGCATGCCTCTCTTTCTCCTACGTTGGCCTTCTAGTTACTAGTTGAAAGCTATGTCAGAAAAAAAACTCGCTGAAAAGGCAGCTCAGCAAGGCTTGTTCATGCTCGACAAGGACTTCCGTGTGGACTTGGCAACTCAGTGTCTTCCAAGCTCTTTACCTACCATACCGACCAAACACTCCGCGTCATGAGCCTTGTTTTAGCCACGATAGAAGTGCGGTTTGGTTGACGTCCCTCACATCCAGCGCTGCTTCCGCTCTTCTTATCCACGGCGTCAGGCTTACTCTCTCTCCCTCTCGCTTTGCTGCCTGACCTTGCTCGGTTTTGCGAAGGGTGCCTTTACATTGCTCTGCGTGCGAGCAACCAACCGAACATTCGTTCAATTCCAATGCCACCCAGTTCTACGTTGGCGCAAGCTGCATCAGCTCTCTGCTATGTTGCAGCCCGGATGCTTCCATGCAGATGGTTTTGGTTTCACCCATGACGACCTGCAGCGGTCAGCAACTACCAGCACGGGAAGCTTTTCTTACTAGTTTCTAAGTTACTCGTCGTGCAGATTCTCGGGCATTTGTGTTTTCGGCTCCAAGAACTCTGCGTTTCTTCTTTCGGGTCTAGGGAAGCTGTGATTGAACTCATCTGTCGGTGTTGCATAGAAAGCAGCCAGGCCTGCCCGGCCAGCAATTTGCTGCCGCACTGGCCCGCAAAGGTCAGATTCGCCAGACCTTTCCTGAGCTTCAGGGCATTGAACTCGTGGGTGCAAAGCCATTGGCCCCGATTCCGCCAGCAGCATGTGCAAAAGCAGCGTGGGCAGGCTTGAGCTGCCGACACCCTCAAGCCTGCTGTGCTTGATGCATCCCTTGCCAATGGCGCTTCTACAAGGCGCACAGCACCTCTCATCGAATCTGGCACATCTGTGGCAAGCTCCACTCGGCGCATGTTTCGGCAAGGCCTTCCACACAGTAAGTCAGCTAAATGGCTTCAAAGGCCTGCAACAAACCGTCGTCCCACTGTTGCATAGTGTCAGCCTGGAGAATGCTGCATGCCTTCGCCAGCACACGCACACATTGAAGTCGAAGTATTTGCGTTTAGCTGAGCATTTGTCACTCTGATAGCACTTACGTTAAAGGCTTAACCAGTTTCCTCCGGACTTTGCTGGGCACGCTCCCGCGGACGACACCTACTGTTCGTGCTGCCAGGGACAAGGCGGTTCCACGAAATTAATCGGAGTCTGTGGCCCTTGCTGGATGAATCTCGACGTCTTGGATCTCACCGTCTCACCCAAAACCTCATTGAAAAGAATTTGCCCATTCGATCCACCCAGGGGCGTGTCAGAGCCCTAGCCCTGCAGAAATACACGAGTTACAAGTTTTGCAGCTCTGTACTCGCGAAAGCAGCTCACCCATGAGGAGGATTTCAGAACCACCGCCGTAGTGTGCTGTTGGGACTTTCGCTAGGCCTTGCATGAGGTAACAGGGTGCCTTCACTCTACTGGGCCTCTGCTTGGTTCTCCGTGCACGGAGAGAGCGCAAACGAGCAAATTCATGGCATCGGCGAAATGCAAAAGAGGAGCGGCTTCTTTGAGGACCGATTACAACTCTAAAGCTGGCGCTGGATGTGGCCCTCTAAAACCTGGACGTGCAAGGTTTTGTACATCGGAGTTTCGTGAGCCCCAGCACGAGGCATGTCTTGTAGTTTGGTGTCACAAGACCTCACGTCCACATTGCACGAATGCCGGCGCTCAGAGCGATCACAGCAGCAGCTGAGGCCAACCTGTTTGCAGGACACAAGAGTACGCAAGCACCCGGCACACTCTCAAAAGTTGTGCCCTGAACCTGGATCAAAAACCATACATCTACAGAACAGCTTCCCTGGTGACATCCCCCAGCTGCAAGACTGAGGCGTTAAGATCCCACGTTCCGGCGTTTTGCTGTCATGTGCATACACAGCATTCGAAAATCCCCTCAATTTGGGGACGTGGGGAAGGGAGAAACACAGACGCAGAGACCGAGACACGCGGAGACGGAGACATTTAGAGACCGATGGATGTTCACGATACAGCTGACACCACCTCACCAACTACGCACCACTCCTCGGATGGTCGGGATTGCAGTTTTGCAGGAATCTTATTCATCAGATCCAAGCCTACTCGGTAAGTTGGTCTAGGCGCCAGCTTCTGGCTTACCCTGAGTGGAAAAGGCCCGACTTACATTCTCAGCCGGGTATTCAAGTTTTGAAGCAAAGGGCGGTGCATCGGTGTCTGGCCAAAGATCCGGCATTAAGCATTTGGTGCTCAGATTCTGGCCATGCGGTAGCAAGATGTCGCAAACAACTCTCACCATGCGTCGTCGCGTCGTGTTGGACGGAAGCTGCTGCGAAGATGCCTCCAGCCCGCTTTGTTGTCCTCCTGCTCCGGAGCTTTCGCAAGCTCCTGATCGATGCTATGCGCAAGGCTCCAACTGCAGTAAGCCACAGCGGACAAACGAGAATCATTAATACAACTCTAAACACAATGACCGTTGCGAAAAAGTTCCTGCTCACTCCAATTAGGGTGAAACTGACCGGAGTCGGCTCTTCAGGAAACCTCGGGCTTTGAGGTGTCAGCATGAAGGAGCCGGGAAACCGCGGCCTTGTCAGGTTTCTCCGTGTCTGCCAGGCCAGGGTGGTCGTCAGGCATTGCCAGACCTCTTCGAGATCATAGAGCGGAGTTTAGGACTGCATCAATTTAGCTCTCATCACCTTCCAACATACTGCATCGGGGACTGGGCATGTGGTTTAGCAGATCCTGGACATCTCCGGGGGAAACCATCAACGATTACGAGAACGAGCAAACCCTCTCACGTCAGGAAGCCGATGGCGAAAACAACCCCGTCACCATCCTGCGAGACATACAGTTCGTTGGCCTTGCGCAGCCAAGCTGGCAAAAGGGCAGCCGGCGGCTGCCGCACGGGCCGCAGCCTCTGCAGCGAATCTGAACACCTCAAACCTTCGAGAGTCTCCGCAGCACCTACGAAGCCCTGCAAAAGTTAGAGCCCGAAGGCGGGGCTCACACGGAGGCGGCGCCAAGAAGCTTCACTGCCAGACAAACTTCACAGATTAATCCATGTGCGGAGGGCCTGAGGTTACCGTCGCAAGGGCAGGGAGCTGTGAGCGTGTCAAACACAAGCAAGCGGACTAGAGGGACCTGTTTGCAAGCTGTAAAAAGCCTTCTTTTGCGGACTGTCCCTTCGCCTCAGCGTGGCTGGCTGCAGGTGCAGATGCCGGTGGCGGTACAGGTTCCGCCTGCTCAAGCAGTTCACGCCGAGATGCGACACATGTTTCTGCGACCCACATTGAGCCATAGTGACAGCATGGGTTCGCAGAAAGACCGTGGCAAAGCAAGAGCTGTTGCCTGCAAATCTTCCTGAAGCACCACCCGAATCCCAACTGATACGCCCCCATCCAGCCTCAAAGCCCGCCAGCGAATCCAACTCCTGTGCGGAGACATGGCACAAGCTTCGGTAAACGGCGGATGTCGAAAGCTGAAACGTTGGCTCCAGGGTCCTGGAATATCCTTGTGTTGAGGAAGAAGGCATAGTTCGCCTCCTCGACCATTCCTCGATCGCTTTGCAGGGCCCTCGCAAAGTCACGATTCTAAAGACTACCGAAAACAGGATGCAAACCCTCTTGCCGGCAGCTGACTTGCACTCTCGGGGCACTATGCTGGTAGACGCGCTGAAACACACAAGAGTCATGAAGAAGACTCAGCGGGAATTGCCGAGCCGAGCCGCGGTCTGCAGTTGCGCTGTCCGCCTGTAGGTTGTCCATGCGGGCGCGATACATATTCCTGATGCTTCAGAACAGACAGCAACAGCATAGCAGCTGCAAAGTGCCAACACAGCTTCCGAGATCGCCGAAAGCGTCAACCTGTACAAGAGCACGAGACGACTCTTGTCGACCAGATTCTTGAAGTTCTTGAAGTCGGGGATCCGCTTGAAGATGTAGAATCGCACGCCTTGGGAAATGCTGCAAGTCTTGGAATGCAGCCGGGCAGAACAAGCAAATCAGATGAGCACCTTGAGCAAATAGAGCAAGCAATCCGCAGAGCAAAGCCGACGCGGAAACCAGTGTCGGAAACCAGGCACTGTTTTCCGCGAGAAGGCTTCTGAGGCGCACGATGGCGCTAGGAAAGTGCAGAAAGCTAATAGACGGTTGACGCCATCAGCTCTGACCGTGGCCCCTGCTGGCAGTGCCCCCACAAGTCGGCCCGTGCGTTGGTTCCGCCGAAGCCGAAGGACGACACGCCGATGTTCTGGCTGTTTTGGTCAGCATCGACACACTCGCTTTCGTACAAGCATGGGAATCCATTTGTGTCAAGATTCGGGTTCAGTGACCGCAGATGGACATTGGGTGCCGACGCAGAAGTCATAAGCATGAGAACACACTTGGCCAAGCCATTCAAGCCAGCAGCGGACTCAGCATGGCCTACATTGCTTTTGGAGCTGGTCATCATAAGAGGCTGTCGGCGGTCGTACATCACCCCTCGCAGGGCGCCCACCTCGATCGGATCACCAAGGGACGTGCCAGTTCCGTGGCATTCGGCCACGGCCACTTTGTCTGGGCTCACGTTGGCCATGCGCAAAGAAGCTCGTATGCAGCTCTGCTGAGAGGGTCCATGGGGCGCAGTCAAGCTGGCACTCCTCCCGTCTTGGTTTACACTACTTCCAGAAAGGCTGGCCAAGTGCAGTTCCAAGTCCTCCTCCCCGTCCTCGTCCTTCGCAAGAAACACAGAACAGCAACCTTCGCCACGACCGAAGCCCTGAGCACTGCTGTCAAACGTGAAGCAACGTCCGTGCAGGCTCAGGAAGCCTGCGGCACCGAGACCGACGAAGCCTTCGGGACCGAAGAGCACACGAACGCCAATCACCAGAGCACCGCTGAATTGGGATTGCCTGCTTTGGGCATTTTGCAACAAGGGTGCTAGCCGGAGTTGTGAATGGGCGTGCCCCAGCGCCACCAATGATGAGGAGCAAGCTGTGTCAAACGAACAAGCGCCCCCCCGCAAGCCAAACAAGTGCGAGATGCGAGATGCGGTTGCTGCACTGAGCGTGCCATGCTGACGGCACTCATCCAAAGCTGGGCAATATGTCGCAGATTCATTCGCACAGTCACCTACATAAGTGCTGATTCTGCTTCCCTTCAAAAACTCGCCGTCGAGGCCAGCATCCGCCAGTGCCTGGTAGCCGGTCCGCAGCACCAGGCGCTGCTCCGGAACCATTTGCTCCGCCTCCTTCTCGCGCAAGCCGAAGAATCCTCACGCGGATGCGGACCAGGGCTAGGCTTGGGCTTTTTGAGCTGTTTGCTTTTGGAGGGTTGAAATGCCTTCCTGGGGCTCCTAGCTGCTCCTGCTTGGGTCCTGCGTGGAGATCCCAGAGCTCGGAGGCCTGGAGGAAGGCCGCGTGCTTGGTGCTGGTCTGGCCACGCGAGGCGGCGCCCTCGTCGGGCGCGTAGTAGACGGAGGGATCCCATCGGTCCGGCGAGACCTCCGTCTGTGCCTCGCCACCTGTCGCAAGGAGGCTCCAGTAGCTTTCCTCGGCTTGCAGAGTCGGATGGGACCGGAACCCCAGGCCCAGTGCTGGCAAACTTTTTTGCGGAGCAAGAAACCGCCGCACCGCATCTGGCGGGGAGATTTGTAGCCAGGGACTGCACCTGAACCATTGGCCCTAACGGTGGAGGTGGCCCCGTAAACAT